TCTTCCAGTGGGTGCTGGTGGGGGCTTTCTGTCTCCACTGGTCTCCTTCTTTACTGCAGCTGAAGCTGAAGCTGGCCTCGCTGGGGTTGGGGTCTTGGAGGGGCTGATCTCTTTCCTGTGTGGGTGGCTCTTCTGAAGCTGGGCTCGCTGGGTTGGGGTCTTGGAGGAGCTGATCTCTTTCCTGTGTGGGCGGCTCTTCTGGAAGCCGGGAGCGGCCCCGAAGATGGAGGGGGATGGGTGATGGGCGGGTGGTCCCAGCCAGAGACCCAATCTCACCTGAAGCTGGGCTCGCTGGGTTGGGGTCTTGGAGGAGCTGATCTCTTTCCTGTGTGGGCGGCTCTTCTGGAAGCCGGGAGCGGCCCCGAAGATGGAGGGGGATGGGTGGTGGGCGGGTGGTCCCAGCCAGAGACCCAATCTCACCTGAAGCTGGGCTCGCTGGGTTGGGGTCTTGGAGGAGCTGATCTCTTTCCTGTGTGGGCGGCTCTTCTGGAAGCCAGGAGCGGCCCCGAAGATGGAGGGGATGGGTGATGGGCGGGTGGTCCCAGCCGGGGACCCAATCTCACCTGAAGCTGGGCTCGCTGGGTTGGGGTCTTGGAGGAGCTGATCTCTTTCCTGTGTGGGCGGCTCTTCTGGAAGCCGGGAGCGGCCCCGAAGATGGAGGGGATGGGTGGTGGGCGGGTGGTCCCAGCCAGAGACCCAATCTCACCTGAAGCTGGGCTCGCTGGGTTGGGGTCTTGGAGGAGCTGATCTCTTTCCTGTGTGGGCGGCTCTTCTGGAAGCCGGGAGCGGCCCCGAAGATGGAGGGGGATGGGTGATGGGCGGGTGGTCCCAGCCAGAGACCCAATCTCACCTGAAGCTGGGCTCGCTGGGTTGGGGTCTTGGAGGAGCTCCGGCCACCTCATTTGTAGTCCAGGCAAGTCCCTTAACCCGACCAGCCCTGGGTAATTACCGGGAACCATCCTCCCTATCACTAGCTTGTTGCCAGGTGTGTGGGTGTGGCAGCGAGCCAGGAGTCAGCTTCTCCACTGCAGCTGCAGAGGCAAAGCCCTGATACTCTCCTGGCTCTACTTTTATGTTTATAGCAAACTTTAGGGAAGAGTTGTGTTTTTTTGTTTGTTTGTTTTTGTCTTTTGTTTTGAGCTCTCTGATTCTGAGTTTCCAAAGGGAACATAGAACAGAGCTGGGTTCAGAGAGTGTTCTGTTTATGTTTAATCCTTGCTCCACCTTGGCCCTGACTTCTGGCTAGACAGGGATTTGCTTTCAGGAATTGTTCCTGTGGTCTGACTTCTGATCATGACTCCAGCAGGAAAGGAGGCACATGTTTCTGTTGAAGACTCTCAGAGAACAGCAATGCATCCAACATCAGATCACACATTGTCAGGGTAGGGCTTCTGTTCTATCAGACAGCAGGCAAAAGAGACTATCAAGGTATGTATGTGATGGTCTCCTCGGGTTTATATAAATAATATATGAGCACTGCAGAGGAGGGAAAGTGAAGCAGGGAAGTGAGGTGTGAAGTCTCCCCTCCCCCCAAAAGGAAGTCAAAGACTATCAAAGAGGGAATAACAGCTGGGCAGTGGTGGTGCACGCCTTTAATCCCAGCACTCGGGAGGCAGAGGCAGGCGGATCTCTGTGAGTTCGAGGCCAGCCTGGTCTACAGAGTGAGTTCCAGGAGAGCCTCCAAAACAAACAATACAGAGAAACCCTGTCTGAGGGGATAACATCCAGGATGCCATCTGCGATCGGACTGGTCTCCTGACTTCTCCAGTCTACTTGGCTTTATCAGAGGGGCCCACGTCTTGCTCTAAGTGTGTGGAAAGAAACCAAGGAGTATTTGGAATAAAACATCCAAGTACGTTATCCATTCACAGGCTGGTGATGCTGGGACATCGAGGGTTCGGAGGGGAATCACAGAGCCTTGGGTTGAGACTGGGTCCAGGCGGTATCTCAGCAGGCCTCAGTTCGTTCACTGGGCCTACTTTCATTTGGCTTGCTGTCAGACTAATCTCATATGCGTGCGCTTTATTTTTCTTTAAATAACACTGAAAGTACAATGAACTGAGGGGGGGCAGCGGAAGAGAACCTACCACCCCACCCCACCCCCACTCCCACTTCAGCCTCTGCACTTAAAGACAGATCAGCAGGAGTTATCAAGTTCAAGTTTTGGGATCCCAACCACAAAGTTTACTTTGCTGTGTGTCATTGAGCAAACCGAGTCACATCTCTGCTTTAAGTCCCTGTATATATATTTAGCTCTCAAAGCCAATGAGCTTTAGGGTTCGTTATGCAATTGCACACTACTTAGTCAAATGGTAATGACAATCGGAGAATGGCTCTCTGGCTGATGTCAGAGGGACAGAGGGAAGTCAGAGACTCACTGCTTTAGCCGTCTGATTTCAGGGTTAGGGTTCTCACAAAAAGACACTGAACTTGTATTTGACTTTCAGATTGTGTTGGTCGATTTAATTGCTAACTGGATGGAAGAGAGAGGGGGGAGGGAGGGAGAGAGAGAGAGAGAGAGAGAGAGAGAGAGAGAGAGAGAGAGAGAGAGAGAGAGAGAGCTGAGGATATATCTGATATATCTGTGAGGGAATTTCCAGTGAAGCGTAACTGAGGAGAGAAGATCCACCCTGAATTCAGGCCACATCATTCCATAGACTGAAGTCCCAGAAAGAATAAAAAGTAGTAAGTGAGCTGAGGACCAGTGTCCATCTCTTTCTGCTTCCTGATTGCAGATGCAGTGTGACGAGCCGTCTCATTCTTCAGCTGCCATGGATGGACGGTAGCTTCAAACTGTGAACCAAAATAAGCCCTTCCAAACTTAGTTGCTTCTCTCAGGCTATTTTGTTACAAAAATGCAAACAAGCATTCTGTTATAGGTGTCCTCATTACTCCCAGTGGAATCTTCTAGGGCTCTAAGAGCTGAAAAGCCAGAGATTTCTTCAAGAAGCCAAGGAAGGTAGGCTCAAAAACCTGAAAAAATCAGACAGGTGACATCTGGATTTCTCTGTGAAAACTTTTCAAAAATGTCATCTACCCACTCAGTGAAATCAATAAAAACCCGGTGCATGACCCAAATAAAAGTGTCTGCTCTGGCTAATTTATAGTCTTTCAGCCATTATGTAGATGAGGAAATGAGTCCCCTGCTCCTAAGAAGAGACAGATGGTCCTCAGCGAGGCTGTGCAGCTGACACTTCTCAGAAGGTAACACGCGGATCATCTTGGATGTAAAGCAGCTGGCGATGGGGAGATGAGGAGTGGGAGAGTCAGCGCAGGGCAATTTGCCAGCTACTTTCCACCTCTACCCTCTCATCCACCTCTGAGACTAGCAGATCCTACAGAGTCTTCTGTACATGCAGACAGAGGAAGGGTGTCATGGGAAGTGTTGATAAAGGTTTTCTAGTGAGAGGGCATGACCCACAGCTGTGCAGAGAGAGGATGCGAGGGACACGAACTCCTCAAATGTTCATATTGAGAGTCTGGAGTGTGCAACTCCCTGTGAAAGGTGGGGCGTGCAATTCTCTCCCAGTTCTCTGCATGCTTGGATATTCCTCCTTCTTCGGGGTTCAGATCAAATATCTCTTTCTCAGAGAACTTTGCAGGAGAGGATGACCTCTCTGATGAAGCCTGACTCCCCTGTCTCTGAACCTCACTCTTCTCTCTCACGTATTAATATCTTCAAGAATTATACTTTTTAAAAGGCTAACTCCCCTTTTGAAACATAGGTTCCACAAGGGCAGACTTCATACACTGTAGTTGCTCAACGAGTGTGTTGAATATTTCTAAATATCTCCCTGAAAGGGTTTTGGCTAATTCTTTAAATTTCCTTTGGCCTCTTGAACTATTAACATTATTATAAGGATGAGGCGAAATTGCATTTCAAGAAAATGGTTATGAGTTGAAAAACTGGTGCCCAGCCGGTGAATTCATGCTTTTTGGACCAACTGTGGGACAACTTGAAAATTATATGCAAAGGAACCAAGCCTGTTTTTAAAAATCCCTGCACCTCGCAGCTCCAGGTGATGACATCAGAGAACCCAGAGTTTCATGTCCCAAGCCAAGCCTCGTGGACCTCGAAAACTGCAAGCCCCAGGATGCAGCGCGGCGCAGGGACCCAGGGCCCCGCGCGCGGCCGAGAGCCACCGCCCATGGAACTAGGAAGGCGCCCGATTCCTTCGCCCGCCACGCCGCCGGGCGCGCGCGGGGCTTGCCGGGACTTGTAGTGTCCGCGGCTGGGAGTGCCCGCTCCGGAATCTCAGTCGCCGTCTGGTGGGGTAGAGGCGGCGCGTGCACGCGTGCGCAGTGCGCGGGCGGGCCGTCGTGGGTGCCGCTCCCGGCAGCTGAGTGCCTGAAGGAGCCGGGTCCGCGGCGGCGCGGGTGCTCCGGGCGGAGGCCGCGGTAAAGTGGGGGCGTGAGGCGCGCAGCTCGGGTGTGGGCGTGTGGCAGGGCACAGCGGGGCGAGGGGCGCGAGGCTGCGGCGAGTGGGAGGCGTTCACCGGCTGCCGAGGGGGCGCGGGGCCGCGCCTCGTCGCGCGTCCGCGGGAGCGCGTGCACCTGGGCGAGGCCGGGCTCACCTGTGCGCGGGCTCCTTCGTGCCCCGCGGCCCGCCCCGCAGGTCCCCTCCAAGACCCACATTTCCTCGGGTCCTCGCTGTCGCCGCCACGGCTCGCCCCCTGTCCGGGCTCCCGGTGACGACGCGAGTCCGAGCGGCACGGCTCCAGGGCCGTGCCCGCCTCATCCCTGCCGCTCGCTCCTGCACAGCCCGGGTTCCAGGCGTGTGCGGACAGCGGGCGGCAAGATTGGGAGTGCCGCGGCCAAGGTCACGCGGGTGGGACCGGGGAGAGGCGCCTGAACCCCGCGCTCGGTTCTTGGAGGAGGGCAGCCTCGAGGGGCGGCCCTGCCCGGCTTGTGGTTCCTTTCAGATGCTTTCTATTGACCCTCTCGGGAGAGCGTCCGGGAAGAAAGTGGTGTCAGGTTGAAAGCGCCCTGCTGTTCGTGGTGCTCTGCCTTCGCTAGAATCCCTGTTCTGCGACACCCAAGCAGAGCCTCGACCGAGGGCCAAGTCAGTTCAGAAAGTGACTTGCTGTTTGGGGTCAGGTCCCGAGGACAGGTTTAAGGAACAGATACTCAGGTAGTTTATGGCATTTCGTTTTCTAGTTCGCCTTCCCATTCTTTCTAATACTTGCTTGGATACGTAGGTCGTTACCTATTTTAGTAAGATTTCTGTACTCCAAATGAAGTCGTTGCCCTTTGTAAATTAGTTTTCTAACTAGAAAAGCTTATTTCCTGTGTGTTTAATGACCGGAACAAATAGCCCACTCCAAGGTTTATACCATTGTCTTTTATCTTAAAACTGTAGAGCAGTCTGCTTTATTTCTCTCCGAGTAGCTAGTGTCCTGCTTTTTGTGTTGACCGCCACTGGAAGAAGCTACTGCAAAGTTTAGGAGAACGTTAAGTGACTCAAGCTTTGGGGGTAAAAATGAAAAAACATTTTTAGTTTACAGCTGGAGTTGAGGAACTATTATTTCAAAAATAGTAACATGCATTTTGAATACAGTGCCTGCGTCTTAGTTTCTCTTACCAACACTTGTGGCAAAGCATTTTTCCTCAAGTTTAAGTATTCCATATTTTGTACTCTCTTCTTAGGGAAAGGTTTTTTTTTTTTTTTTTTTTTTTAAGAGCAGGGATACGTTTAAACAAGAATATTAAGCCAGGCAGAATTCAGATTAATAGTTTATTTTATAGTGTTATAAATCCTGTAGTGTGCCAAATGACAGATTTCTCCCGAGAACTAACCCGTTGTCAAGGGACATACTGTGAGTCTGTGCTTGTAGTAAAGGGAATAGCTTGCTACAGTGGGGAAGTGATATATACATGTTGCCTTCTATCTCCCTTTATCCTGTTTGCTAATAGTTTCACTGTTGCTCTTGGGGGAAAAGGAGTAGGTTTGTATCTTTTTTTTCTTTTCTGTCTGGGTTTAGTAGTGTAGCAAAATAGGAAAGAGGTGCTGTGTACATCTGTTTGGCGGAGACTGAGACAGTGGGACAGGCTAAGTATACAATTGTGAGGAAACGGCCATGAGTTCATAAGCAGGAAGGACCTTTTTAGAAGTATTTAAGGGTGTTAAGAATAGCATTGGATTCTTTTCTTTAAACAGTTATTGTGGGCAGTATTCAAAGATGGGATAAGATGCTATGGGCAATGAGAAAGGTAGAAACTTACATCTTTATGTGGACTTTTCTGCTGAAAAACTGACCTTTGGGCCTAAGACTTAATGAAAGTTCTTTACTGTTATGTATCTGGTCAGATTGCAACCCCCCCCCCACACCCATATAATTTGTAACCCAGAAGGAAATCTAAGAAATGATTTATTACTATGATTTAAGTCAGACTTTGCCATGGACATGTGGTGTGGTGTGCACTTGTCTTGTTCTTGTTAAAATAGCTGTGGAGTAAGAATAAGGAAGATGGTACAGATGGGCCAGGAGCTACTTTGCTTTGACTAAAAAGTTTCAAGAGCTGTGCTAGTGGATCGGATGCCGGCTGTGAGCTGAAGATAGGGAAATCATCATCTTCCATGTGTCTGAACAGTGCTTTTTTTTTTGGCATGTCAAGACTTTATTTAAAATTTCAAAAATGATCTCAGACCTGCAATAATAAAATAAGATTAATTCAGTGCGAGATAAACATCCAATTCTAGTTTTATTTATTTATTCATTTATTTAGACTATGAGTATGCAGCATTTGAGAACGGATTGACTTGTATATGAAATTATTTCCTTTTGACAGAAACATTCAGTCTTTAGATGCTTGCCTATAATACTCAGCCATTTTTTAGAAATACTTGTATGGAATGTTTTCATATAAAAAGAAGGCATCCTCTTGAGGCTGTCTTTAAACTTAGCACTTAGGAGGCAGAGGCAGGTGGATACCAGTGAGTTCCAGGACTCAGGACAATCAGAATCACATTAATAGAAAGAACTTGTCTTTAAAAAGAAAAGAAAAGAAAAAGACGTTCTGTTGATAACTTGCTGCATAACTAGGACTCTTATAATTAAGGAGTAACTAAATAATTTAAGGATTAATAGTTTTCCTTGTAGGCTCTGTGTGATAAAGAATATGCACATTTGTGATTCCCAGAATATATTTAAGTGAACATTTGTTTGATGAGCCATTGGACAATTTGAATAGCTTTGATCTTAAATGATAGTGTTTTAGCAATTTTTATACCATACTTTCTTTGAACTGGAATGTTTCTTGAATGTAAGAGAAAATTAGAGTCATGTAGGATTTGAATGATTTTTTAGAATAAGATGCTATTTCCAAATAAAACTCAATCTGATAACTTTACACTCAAAAAAGTTGTGATTCTATGCCTTTAGGCAACCTTGCTTCTTCGAGATTCATTGAGTACTTGGTTCTGGATTCTGTTTATTTTCTTTTTGAAGAAAAGATAGTTGTTAGCAGTGCCAGAGTTGGGAGTGATCTCAGAGGGTTTCTGATGCAGCTTTTTAGCGGGTACAGTAAATCCTCCCTGAGAATTTCCATGTCAGGTGCTCCCTCCCATTACTAAAGGTGGTTATGCAGGTCCATATGCCATTGGATTATTGAGCAGTCTGAGCTAGTGACAATAAATGTAAGGTAGTTTTTTTGAGACAGGGTTTCTCTGTGGCTTTGGAGGCTGTCCTGGAACTCCCTTGGTAGTCCAGGCTGGTCTTGAACTTACAGAGATCCGCCTGCCTCTGCCTCCCGAGTGCTGGGATTAAAGGCGTGCGCCACCAACGCCTGGTGTAAGGTAGTTTTAATGTTTACTATTTCCAGTCATGTTTTGAAGAATCTTGCTCTTTTTCCTTCATACCCTATGAGTAAGAATAGCTTTTTTATTATTTACAGCTATTAAAAGCTCTAGTCAGAGCCAGGTGTTATGGCACACTCCTTCAGTCCACATTTGGGAGACAGAGGCAGGCAGATCTCTGAGCTCCAGGACAGCCTGGTCTACATAGTGAGACCCTGTCTAGCTCCCCCCCCAAAAAAAGGTTTTGTCTAATCTATTCCAATTTAAAGCATCAGTCTGATATTCAATTTAAAATTCCTTCCTCTCTTAACTCACAATCTGGCTATTTACTGCCTAAAAAGCTCCTGGGATACAGAGGGATTGCTGTTTGTTACTATGTAACTTTTGCTGTTCCTCTTTGGGGATCTGCTTGGATAGGGATGGTAAGAAGAATGGAAAAATGCACTTATTCCTTATCTGTTTCTCCTTAATTAATGGTGGCAGGTCTGACACACAAGCTAATATTTCTGGTTAGATTTTGCCTGGAGACTCTCTACTGCACAATTCCTGCATATGAAATTCCTGTGGCCAAGCCTTTTCCATTCTTCACTCCACCAGCTTGTTCCCTTTAGTGTGTGAAGGTGGAGAGGGTTAAGGGTCTTTTTCTCTGTAGTCAGGTTTTTTGATAACACCAGGACCACTTGAGTATAGCTATGCCTGCAGTTGCCACACATTCCAATGGAAACTCACTTCTTTGCTTGAAGGCAGCTACTTAAAACTGCCTTTCTGTGCCCTGCTGCTTTTATTAATTTTTTTTTTATAATCAGTTCTCATTGTTTCCTTGCTCAGGGAGGCAGAGTCTGTTGTATAGTCTATTGTGCAGGCTGAAAGTGAATTGGAAGATGCAATGCCAGTCTCCCTGTCTCCTAGGCATTCCAAGTTTAGTGAATAGAATGGAGACCCCTACTACTACTTGGTAGTGAACATTTCCTGTCTCCATTGTTTTCCACAAATATATGAAACATTTCTTTCCTCTTTCTCTGTCAGTTGCTTCTACTGAAGAAAAGGATGTTAATGGTACAGAGTGCCAGTGGCAGGTAGGTGAAGGCCATGCCTAACTGCATAGATGTCCATACAGTGTAGACTCTTTGTCCAAAAATTGAGCCACCCTTAGATTAAAAAGATTTCATCTGTCCTAAGCATGTCCAGTTTTTTTTCTTGTCATATTAATGCGCAGCGTGTGTGTGTGTGTGTGTGTGTGTGTGTGTGTGTGTGCGCGCGGCGCGCTCAGTGTTGTAAGTAATGTAGAGGTGCTGTACAGCAGAAGGAGAAGAATAAGAGTTATGGGGAAACACTGTGCCACTTCACTTAGTACCTTGAGCAGCAGAGACCTTGGTATCCATGGGGCCCTGAAGCCAATCCCCGTGGGTAAGGGAGAATAACTGAATGTCCTCTGCTTTGGCTGTGTGGGATTCTGGTCCATATAACATCTGATTAACAAACAGTATGACATTCTGTGGCCTGAGGAGGTCTTTCAGTGTAACATTTACATTTTCTTTCTTTTTTTTTTTTTTCTTCTTTCTCTGTCTTATTTTTGTTTTGTGTCTTGTCTTGCCTGGTTCCCAACTGATGAGATGGAAACTGTGAATGATAATTTGTGACTGAGTTTTAAATCCAACTATGCCTTAGTACATATATCAAGGTGAAGAATAGATTTGAGGAGAGGTGGGTTTATCATGTAATTTTTTTTGTGATGCTTGCTTTACTGAGAATATGAATTCAAGTAGGATTATAGTGTTAGGGCCTCTTTTTTTTCCCTGTCATCTAAACAAACCAGTTAAGTCTGCTATATGACTTTTTATCTGATGAAGAAAAAGCAGCTTTGTATCTGGAACCCCTGAATATTTGATGCAGTAATTATGGGTTACTTCACACTTCATTCAGATGGTGGTTTGTGAACACCTTCTGCCGTGCTCTTGTAGATTTTGGAGAAACAGCAGTGAATTAACAAAAACAAAATCCCTGCTCTCAGGAAGCTTGCTTTCCAGAGTGGGGGTGTAGGCAACATGAAAAATCGGTCCTCATCTGTGCTAAAGAGAAGAGTGAAGCAGGGAAGGGGGATGAGAAGTGGGTTGGGCCTAGAGTCCTCACAGAAGGAAGTAACGTTAAGAGGCCCTTCCCTGCCCTACACTGGGAGCTTGTTTGGTTAGTTTGGTGACAGATGAATGAGTGGGCAGGTGGGGGTGTACTGGGATGGCGGGGAACAGGGAGGTGAAGTCTTTTAGGTCTTTGTAAAGGCCCTCATTTTTACTCTGACTGATATGGGATCCTGTTGGAATGACAGTGTTTCAACCTTGAATGAACAGGAAAGTACTGGTGACTGGATTCAATCCCAGAATTTCCTCTGTAGTTTGTATGGAGGGGGTAGGTGAGACATCATCAGGCAGTTCAAGGCATTGGAAATTCTGCCACACAGCTGGAGTTCACATCCACTTTACTGGGCCTTTTTTGGGAAACTGTAGTTTTAGGGGACATAGGCTCCCCGCATTTGAATCCTGTCTCTGCCTCTTCCCAACCCTGTGACCTTGGGCTTTGGTTTTCTCATCTGTGATATTGTTTTAAGGATTAAACTAATGTTTAGGACAGCATCTAAAAAGAGGTACATATCTGTGTTTTTAATGAGTAAACACGTGAATTGTGTTTTATTAAATTATGGGATCACTTTGATTGCAGTTTTGAGAATGGGTTGCAATGGGGCAAAGACTAACAGTCCAAGCAGTAATCTAGATAGCAGCAAGAATGGAAAGTGGAAGGAATCTGTATATATTTAAACAATAGAACCAACAGGATTTATTGGTGTATTGGACATGGAGTGAGAGAGGAGAACTTTAATCAAGCATGACTCCATGAGATACTTTGCTGGAACTGTTTGAAGAAGGGTACAGTGGTTTTCTTAGATGGACAAGACAAGAAGGTCAGGTTTATGAGGGGAGTGTCTGGGTTCAGTTCTATGAGTTGGAGACATATGTTAGGGAAGTAAGTGGATTACATAGTGTGGGCAGTGTATCTATGAGTCTAGAGTTCAAGGATGTTTAAGAGTGAAGGTACCAGTCTAGAACCCTTACTATTTAGACATGTGAAAGTGAGCTCCCCAAGAGACCAGGTTTAAATAGAAACAAAGCCTTAGACCATACCATCATTCACAGGTCTGGGAGAGGAAATGCCCCTGAGGATTTCTGATGCTCTCTAGGATGAAAGACAATTACTTAGATACAGCTCAGTATAATTCATTTGCTTAAAGTTACATACAGTTCATTGATTTTTTAGTGTATTTACAGTTGTATAGCTGTCACCAAAATTTTGAATATTTGTATCACCCCTCCCCCCCAAAAAATCCCACATACCTTCCCATCCTCATTTCCTGCCTACTCTCCTATAAATAGATAGCTGCTAATGTACTTGCTTTATGTGTTTATTTTGGATGTCTTATGCCAGGAGAATCATATAGTGTGTTCTACTGAGAGAGAAGTCATCCATTAAGACCAAGTTTCTGGCTTCGTTAGATTTTAAAACACTTGGTAAAGGTGGGACTATAAGATCTTTCCATTGAGGCAGGGCATTGGTGGTGCACACCTTTAATCCCAGCATTTAGGAGGCAGAGAGGCAGGTGGATCTCTGAGTTCCAGGCCAGCCTGGTCCACAAAGCCAGTGACAGGATAGGCTCCAAAGCTACACAGAGAAACCCTGTATCGAAAAACCTAGAAAAAAAAGCTTTCCTTTGAAAAGATACATTTTCTTCTTTGTGAATAGTAAGAAAACTGTGAAATGATAGTTTGAGGCTGTATGATTATTTTTTCTTGGACATTTCGTCTGTTGGTTTTAATGTTCGTTAGAGGTGTTTACATCTGATCACTCATTTGCTGTTGCCCTCATGTTTTCAAAGATCTAGAGTTCACAGACTTTTAGATTCAGATACATTGTACAGACATATCTTTTTTCTGTTTGCTCTTTTTTAGGCTCTCAGGATATAGTGCTTTTCTGTGAGGAAGCACACAAAGTCTTGCTTGTAATTTCTCTGTGCAATATCTATTCATGTCTGATTCATTTTTTTTTTGTGTTGAACTTTTGATATATTTTCCTTGATATTTCTTGGCAGTGGAAGGTAGCCCTTTGTGGAATAAGTTGCATATTATTTTTTGCCATCCAAATTCTTTAAAAATTACTTGTAGTTATTTATCAGTGGTTGCTTAAAAATTGTTGCTGTTTTATTTGTTTGTTTGTTTTTTGAGACAGTATCTCTTTCATAGCCCTGGAGCTCAATTTGTAGATGAACTTAGTTTTGAATTCACAGATGTGCCTGCCTCTGCCTTCCAAGTGCTGGGATTAAAGACACGTACTATCACACCAAGCTCAAGATTGCTATTAACCTTCTTTAAATTTGCTTTTTGATGATTATCTTCCCCCTTTTGCCCAGTTCCAAGCAACTAGAATTGTGTTCTTTATTGTGCAGCTCTTTGTGCCTGGCCTTTTTTTTTCTGCTTAATATAATAATGATTTTGAGATTCATCCAAATTGTTGCATGTCAGTAATTACTTTGTACTATAAACCAGTATTCCATCATTTAGTTGTGCTGCATTTATTGTCTGTTGACTTGCTGAGGGGTGTCTTTGTCTCTAGTTTATAGCCTGTAAATAAAGCTACTCTGAGCATTGTCAATCTTTCTGTGCTTCCATGTTTTCATTTCTCTTGAGCTGATATGTGGGATGGGATAGGTTGGTCCCAGGGCAGAACTATGAGTGAAGTGGCTTACTGTTTAATATGTCCTTGATGATACATTGTATTGCCAGTCTGCTTCAGTTGAGCTGTTCTGTTGGGTATATATGCTACTATTTGTTTAAGCCCAGGATAATTGAAATGTTATTTACATGCAATCAATTTTAATCAGTTTAATGTACAGTTCTGTGAATTTTGGTACAAGATACAACTGTGTAACTACTACAATCAAAACACGACCCTCAAATCTTTTAAGTCTTTTGTAGTTGTTCCTTTCCCTGGCCAAGTATGGTGACCTTTTCTACCACGGTGGAATGACTGCTTTGTTCTTTTTTCTTTGCATGAAGTTAATTCTTTTATTATATTTTCTTTATATTTTACAGTTGCATACATATATACAGTGTATTGTGGTTCTGTTCACCCTATTACCCTCTATGTTCTACCTTCTTTTCTATTTCAAGTCCTTACTCTCCTCAACTAGTCCCCCAGTGGCTGCAGGAGAGCTTGTCAGGAAAGGATGGAGCCCCATAGGTACTTCCTCTGTCTATGATGGAATGTTGAAGGGTCCAGTCTTGTGAAGGTATCCATAGCAGCTGTTCGTAATTGCAATGGCAGTGTCGTGTCTGGATGGCAGTATTTTGTGGCACTTCCCTCCTCCTTACAGTTCTTTAATTCCTTTCACCCCCCACTTCATTAGTGGGCCTTGAGAGGTGGTAGGGATGGTGATGTATATATCTATCCTGTGTAGGACTGAGCTCTGAACAGTCACTGTTTCTCGGCATTTTGGCCAGCTATGAGCCTCTGCGTTAACTATTGCCTCCTGCAGAAAGGAACTTCTTGGTCTTAGACTTCCAGTGGCACTAATCTAAGTTTATGGTAGTTTGACAACATGTCCATTTAGGGCAACAATGGTGTATTAAGTTCTCCCTTTGGACCTCTGACCTCCCTAGCAACAGGCTTTTGACCAGGTTATACCAGATGTTTGTTCCTTTTGTGGAGCAGTCCTCCAATCCCAATCACAAAGTGGTTGGTTTATCCCTAAAATAGTTGGCTACTGTTGCTCCAGAGGGTACCTCTTGCCTGGTGCTCAGTTTTGTAGCACACAGGTCTACAGGTGGGTGAAATCATTGTTTTTTACCTTAGCAGCCTTCTCAGGCCAGCAGGGAAGGACTCTACAACTCAGTTCCAGCTTGATTTCTCTGTCCTGTAGACTTTATAGCTTTGATAAGTGCATAGTTTGTATTTCACCACAAGTAAGACACAGAACATTCTATTACACACACCCTGGATTTACCACTTTGCAGTCAGCTTCTTCACCTAGTGATCCATTCTGTTTCCACAGCATGCTTAGTTTGCCTTCTTTCACTTAGCACAGAACAGATGAGATTTCTGTTGCTCTGTGTGTCAGTAGTTCACTCCTTTCCAAGTAAAGCTCCTTTGCACTGGCTAGAGCACGCCGCGCACTCAGCACAGGTCAGTTGGGTTGCTCCTGACTCTTGACACTTAGGAGTAATGTTGCTGTAAACAGTTGCTTATAGAATTTTGAGTGAACAGACCTTCATTTGATTTTTGATAAATACCCAGAAGTGGAATTTCTGGTTTGTATTGTATGTATTTTTAACTTTATTGGAAGCTGTTGCTAACTTGATTTTCAGAGTTGGTGAACTGTTTTGCACCCCAGCGGTGTGTATGAAAGTTTGCTTGTCTCTCATCCCTGACAGTGGGTATTAAGTGCTTTGTTTGTTTTGTTTGGACTGTCCTCGAAGTTTTTAGAAATCTGCCATATCTTTCTGAATAATGATGAGCATCATTATTTGTATATCTTTGCTAGCTGACCTAAGCTTTATGTAAGCTTTTTGCCCATTTTACTGTTGTTTGTTTTATTGAACTGTAATAATAAACTGTTCTTAGATACAATTTATCTGATAGAGGTATACTGTATATGTTCTTCCATGTTTGTGGCTTCTTTTTATTTTTTGCACTGGTGGGGCTAGAACCCAGGTCCTTGTATATACTGAGTGAGTACTGTAACACTTGTAAGAATTTATTTTTATTTTATTTGTGTGGGATGTTTTGCCTGCATATGTATGTGTGCCATGGGCATGAAGTGCACAGCAGAGGCTCAAGAGGGCATCAGATGCCCTGAAACTGTGGGTTCTGGGAATTGAACCCTGGTCCTCTGGAGGAGCAGCCATTGCTGTTTAACTGCTAGACCACCTCTCACCCCTCTAACAGGTTAAATCTGTAGCTCCTCTTTACTTTCTGAAGAAATCAGATTGTGTATGCTTTTGTTTCCCAATTTGGCTTCTTTTTTGGGGGAAGGAGCATGGTTTGAGACAGGGTTTCTCTGTGGCTTTGGAGGCTGTCCTGGAGCTAGCTCTTATAGACCAAGCTGGTGTCGAACTCACAGAGATCTGCCTGCCTCTGCCTCCCGAGTGCTGGGATTAAAGGAGTGTGCCACCAATGCCCAGTCCTTGCTATCTTAATAGGAAAGCTGGCTTCCCCTGTCAGTGTTGACTTCTGAGAAGTAGAAATGCTGATTCCTGTTCATAGAATTGCTTTGAAGATTAAGATTGTGCTTAGAAGAGAACCTGCCACCGAGGCTAGCAGTGGTCAGTAAATGTTAGCTATTATTGTGTAAATTTAAAATATTCTGAGGGATTGGAGAGATGACTCAGAGGTTTAAGTGTGAACTGTTATTGAAGAGCACTCAAGTTCAAATCCTAGCTCCTGTACCACGCAGCTCATGTATCCTCTTGGAACTCTAGCTCCACAGATCTGGCAGTGTCTTCTGAACTTGGCTCCTGTGCTTGGATGCGCACATCCCCCTGCGCTCGCGCGTCCCACCCCCACACAATTAAAAATAACTCAGTCAGGTGTGGTGGCACATGCCTTTAATTCCAGTACTCAGGAGGCAGAAACAGGAGGATCTCTGTTATCTGAAGGCCAACCTGGTCTACACACTGAGTTTAGGCCAGCCAGAAATAACATGGTGAAACCTTGTCCTTTTTTTTTTTTTTTTTTTTTTTTTTTTTTGGTTTTTCGAGACAGGGTTTCTCTGTGGCTTTGGAGGCTGTCCTGGAACTAGCTCTTGTAGACCAGGCTGGCCTCGAACTCATAGAGATCCACCTGCCTCTGCCTCCCAAGTGCTGGGATTAAAGGCGTGCGCCACTAACGCCTGGTGAAACCTTGTCTGAAAACAAACAAAAAATAAATCTTTTTTTTTTGGTTTTTACGAGACAGGGTTTCTCTGTATTGTTTCGGAGGCTATCGGTCCAGCCCGGCCTCGAACTCACAGAGATCCACCTGCCTCTGCCTCCCGAGTGCTGGGATTAAAGGCATGTGCCACCAACACCCGGCACAAAAAATAAATCTTAAAAGAATTAAACCATGAGTAATCTTAAAAGGTAGATCATCTTGATTTATGAGGAAATTAAAATTTGAATGGCTAATTTTTAACACACTTGGTTTTATTTTAGGCAGAAGGAGGTCAAGTGAGTTATTTAACTGAGTAAAATGACTCTTTGCTCACACCAGTTTGAGGTTGGATTTAGTGCACATTTGTGCGCACTTAAGTCTTAAAGTGCTTTCTGCCTGTGTGTCTGATGTTGGTGTGAGCTCCTGTTAACTTGCTTCACCTACGTTGAAAAATGTGCTGTTTGTGGAAGAGACTGTTTGTTCACTTAGAAATTACTTTGTCCTAGGAACTTACTGTCATTGTTTTCATTTTACAGTGTAATGTTCAAGCCCAGAAATGCCTTATGTGGATCGACAGAATCGCATTTGTGGTTTTCTAGACATTGAAGAAAATGAAAACAGTGGGAAATTTCTTCGACGGTATTTCATCCTGGATACCAGAGAAGACAGCTTCGTATGGTACATGGATAATCCACAGGTTTGTAAAAACCAAAGATTACCTTGTAACAGCATAAAAAAGTTGTATTTATTATAATATTTGATATAGAGTATAAATTTGTCTTCCTAAATAGTACATATTTAGATTTGTTTCCACTGGTTTAACTTTCTCCCCCTTTGGTGCCTGTACTTGTACTCCTGTTTGAACTTCAGAAGGTAAACTTAAGTTTATTTGATTGAAATTAAAATTTACCCATGCATATATATTTTCTCCCACTTGTGAGGGAAGTAGTCTTCTTGTAGAAACATTTTGACTAATTACAGATTTAAGATACCTAAGATTGTGAGTGTTACTGTTGAGAAAAACTACTGAAACTATTTGATACTCTGGGGCACAGGTAGTTCTTTTATCATGTGGTGTTCACCTGAATGTCAGTCACTGTGATGAGTCTGTGACTGAAATTGACTTTAATCTTGTTGTTTTCTTGCAAATTTTTGGGATAGATACAAGAAGCTGAAAAATAGAATACTACTGTTAAGGACTGAGGAATGTCTCAGTGAGTAAAGGCACTGTGGCCAACTCGGGACCTGAGCTCTATTCTTGGAATTCATATGATAAAGGAGAGACCAAACTCCCAAAACTGTTCTCTGACCTCAGTACTTGAGCCATCATGTGTGTGCCCTTCCTCCTACCTTCTTGCCCCAATAAATATATAACAGTGCCTTTACTCACGGAGACATTCCTCAGTCCTTAACAGTAGTAATCTATACAGCAGCAGATAAGAACAAATAAAGACCACAGCCAGACACATAACCTGTACTGATAGGGTAATGTCTAAGAATTGTTTTATATAGACTGGCGGCTGCAGATGACCTTAGTATTAATTCAGTCTCCTTAATGGAGGAAAGCATTTCCCTATTCTTCAGTTTAGATATAGCTTGAATAACACAGACTAAAAGGTATGTATCATATTTGAAATTGTCAATTATTATTTTTGTCAGAGCTGAAATCCAATTCTTTGACTCTTCTCACACATTTTACTCTCTGATTCTCTACCATGTAGGTTTAGCCCTTTATTTGCAGGCAATCTTGGACATTTGGGTGGATGGGATGGGTTCCATTTTAATTTGGTTTATATTAGTTGTGTACTCATATTGTCTGATGAGGCTTTTTAGCTAGCAGTAGCATTCTCTGTCACTGTCCGTGCAGAGCTTACTGACATTTTTACTTGGAGGCAGTTACCTCTCTGAGTAACTGCATGGTTATTTTCATTTACTTGGTCTGAGTCAGTGGGAGAAATAACAGGGCAGCAGAAATCAAAAGTTCATATTGATTTCTTTTCCTTAGCATATAAATCAGATTCTTGTCGTTTATGGTCTCCTGTGTTTAGATGGGACATGATTCCCTCAGAGATAACACTGAATCTTCTTTGCAAGATCTCAGCTATTGGTTCCTGCAGAGCCAGGGCATATGTTATCAATGCTTCTCCCTGATTTGCCTCTCTTTGTAGAGGACCTTACAAATGGTTCTCCTGAATTCTCTGTAAAGCCCTTTGTTATTTTTTTTTCTATCCTTGTGCAGATTCTTCTTACAATTCTCCCTTTATCAAAGTTTGTGACTTAACGGATAAAAACAAAGATAGATACAAAATGAAGTAAATTGTTACCACATATGAAACACAGATTTAGACTCAGGAACAGGCATAGTTACAAAAAGCAGAGGGAGATGGTATTATACTGGAGATAGTGACATTTAAAATTGACCTAGAAGATTGGTTTTGACTTGGCCTAGAGGTATAAGAGTGATGATGATTCCTGGATTCAGAGTAACAAGGGCAAAGGAATCATTGTAGGTGTCTGCAGTGTGTTTGGATTAATAGTTCATCTTGACAGGGAAGTGTCTTCTAAGCTTTAAGGCAGGTGCTGGTGATTGCCCCAGCTATACTAAACTTAGGCTGTTCCACTGAGAACTTCTGGCTTTTGGTCTTTTTTTGGGGGGACATGGGCACATAAAACCCAAGCTAGGCCTTAAATTCTATAGAGCTATGGCTGGTCTTGAACTTTTAATCCTCCTTCTTCCCTTTCCTGTGCATTGGAATTACAGGTGTGGAACACCACACCCAGCTCACATGAAATTTTTAAAAGACATTCGTTCTTTTTGTAATCATTATGTTGAGTTTTCTGAACATTGTATATAATTAAAGTCTTTTTTCAGTCCTTACAGTTTTTTTCTAGCTTAAGTGAACTTTTAAAAATCTTGTTTCTGTCAATCAGTACAATAGTCATTAATGCCAAGTTTGTTTCACCTTTAAATATAAAGACTAAGATATACATACATCTTCCTGAAATCTTGCTGAAACTATTAGATTAAGCCCTATGAAATTGCCACTTTAGAGCTATTTTGAATTACTGAAAAATGGCAACTTCAAATGGTTGTATGTTATTGCATATGTCCAAGTGCTAAAGAGCTTTGGTAAAATAAGCAGTTCATTTCACCTCTCCTTGGGGAACACTTCCTTTTTTCACTGATTTCTTTGCCACTAGCCATCAGTTTAAAAATTCACTCTAGTCTTTTACAAGGACTCATTTTATAGCTATGTTTTGCTGAGGAAGTTGGTAATGATACAGAATTAATGAAGTGTCTACACTAGGAAATGAATTTGAAGAGACTTAAAAAGTTTGATATTTGGCAAAATGAGCCAAGGAACTTCTAAGTGTACACATTTCCATTTAAAAAGAGAATCAGTTAATATTTTTAAAACAAGCATTAAAATAGATTATAGCTTAGTACTTGAACCATTTAAATGATGTGTCCTCCATCCCCTCTGGCTCTTGACACCCTTTCTGCCTACTTTTCTGCCGGGTTCCCTGAGCCCTGAGGGGAGGGATTTGATGGAGACACTCTGTTTATGACGGAGTGTTCCAAGGTCTCTCATTCTGCATAGTGTCTGGCTGTGGTCCCTGTATTTGTTCCTATCTGCTGCAGGAGGAAGCTTCTCTCAGGATGGCTGAGCAAGGCAAGGGTTTGCTCCCTTCCTGGAGTCAAAAGACCAATATTTTTAAAGAGATATATTTGATAAAGAAGTTTTACTGGATCAATGTAAAATGAGTAGTTTTTTTTTAAACTTATAACTGTATTGCTTTGTGTCTCTAAATAATTCTCTCATGGCTTTCATAAACAAAATTTGATCTTATAAATCTTTAAGCTCACAAAAAAGAATATTAGTTTAGCTACAATGAGAAAGACAGCTCCTTAGCTATAGGATACACCACAGTGGAGCAGAGTGAGACTCAGCTCCTTATCCGAGTTGTCATCTTGTTGCTTTGTTTCACTTTTTTGCCTACAGGGGTTAGAACCTGTGACCTCGCAAATGCTAGGCTAGTGCTCTAGGCTAGTGCTCTACCACAGAGCCAACCCACAGTCCTATGTTGTTATCTTGATGTCAGATCTAGAGTAACTATGTAAACTGAATAAAGTATGTTTCTAACTTCTTTACCCCCCCCCCATACAGGGTTTATCTATGTAATAGCCCTAGTTGTCCTGAAACTCTCTGTGTAGTCCAGGCTGTCCTGGAAGTTACTGAGATCCACCTGTCTCCACCTCCTGAGTGCTGGGACTAAAGGTGTGGGCCACCACCGCCCGGCATAAAATGTTATTTTTAAAAATTTCAAATGTTTTTAGTACATATGAACTATATTATAAAATAAATAGATAATACTGGGTGATAATTGTATTTTAATACCTTTTTTTTTTAGAACCTGCCTTCAGGATCATCACGGGTTGGAGCCATTAAACTTACCTACATTTCAAAGGTAGATTCTATATTATTTTTAAAAATTAATTTTTTGGGTTTTTTTGTATGGCGTTTCTGAAACAAAATCTAACTATGTAGTGCTAGCCTTGAACCCTCAACCCTCCTGAGTGCTGGGATTACATTTGTGCGCCATTCTGTGCATTTCTCATTGTGTTACTTTCATATGTGAATTCCTGGCCCCAGGAGGGAGTACAGACAGACAGAGTAGCTTCTCTCTGTCATTTAGCAGTGATGTTCCGGTTCCAGTAATGCTAAAGATTGTCCCTGCTTACTGTGACTAGAAATTCTGTAAGTTGATAAAACTAGAAGGAATATGAAATTAATTTGTGGGATATGATAAATTATAGAATTAATGTTAATTTTTATGGTCAGGTATGTGGGTGTCAAAAAAGGGAGAAATTGCTAAGGACAGTGGGAAACCTGTAATCCTAGTCAGCAGGGAAAGTGGAGGCAGGATTTCTAGTTTAAGGTTGACTTTGGTTACCCAGCAAGACACTGTCTGAAAGTTAAATAATAAGTAAAAAGAGTAGGAGAGAAGTTAGCTAACAGATTCTGTCTTGAAAGTTCTAAAAAAAGTTTTGTTAAGTTTATATTCATTTTTAAAGTTTTTCCCCCAATTTAAAAAATTTCATTGTCTCTGACATTGTGTGTGTGTGTGTATACATATATATATATATTAAATAAATAAATTTGTTTTGTTTTGGTTTGGTTTGGTTTTTCGAGACAGGGTTTCTTTGTATTGTTTTGGAGGCTGTCCTGGAACTCGCTCTGTAGACCAGGCTGGCTTCGAACTCACAGAAATCCGCCTGCCTCTGCCTCCCAAGTACTAGGATTAAAGGCATGTGCCCCCAACACCCGGCATTTGTTTTTATATATTTTTAAGATTTATTTTTATTATTTGTGTGTGTGTACATATACACATGTGTATGTGGGTACCTTCAGAGGCCAGAAGAGGGCATCTGAACCCAGGAGCTGGAGTTAGATGGTTTCGAGCCACCTGCCATGGGTGTTGGGAACTGAAATTGGGGCTCTGAAATAGCAGTGAGTGCTTTTAACCTTTGTGCTTTCTCTAGCCCCTGTCTGTTTTATTCTGAGGAAAATGTGCAGCCATCGTGGTGAAGGAATGAGGGTTTTACCTTTCCACTTTGCTTTTACTAATTTCTATTTCTTAAAATTGATTTTGTGCCAGGTAGCAGTGGCACATGCCTTTAATCTCAGCACTTGGGAGGCCAGAGCCAGGTGGATCTTTTGAGTTCAAGGCCAGCCTGGTGTACAGAGCAAGTTCTAGACAGACAGGGCAACACAGAGAAACCCTGTCCTGAAAAAGCAAATAAATAAATAAAAGAAATAGATTTTTTTAGTACTGAATTTTAATTTTCAAAAATTTAGATTATATATTTGTTTAATGACTTTTTTGTTTGTTTTTGGTTTTTTTTAGACTGGGTCTCATCATATAACCTTGGTGATCTACAAACTTACAATGTAGTCCAGGCTGAACTTGAATTCAGAGATGTACCTGACTCTGCCTCTAGAGTGCTGGGATTAAAGGAGTGATAAACCATGCCTGCAAGCTTTTTTTTTTTTTTTTTTTTTTGACAGGGTCTCTCTTTGTAATTTTGACTGCTCTGGAGATTACTACATAGTAATCTAGACCAGGTTGGCCTTAAACTCAAAGATCCATCTGTTTTTGCCTCCCCACGTGCTGGGATTAAAGGTGTGGACCACCATAACTTCCCTTCCTTCCTTCTTTCTGTCCTTCCTTCCTTTCTTCCTTTCTTCCCACCCTCCCTCTTTCTCTTTCTTTTTTTAATCAATGTTTTGTAAAGTTAAGATTAAGTTACTGAGGTGCTAGGTCTATGAGTTTGTCTGGATGTGTGGCTTTGTTTTACACAAGTTTTTCCGTATTTGTTGATAACTTAAAATATGAGGTGCAAGTGGCGATGACTCACTTAATACTGTGGACATATTTAGTACTGTTAATGGTAGAGACACAGTACTTTTGAGCATTTGCTGTTGTCTTGTGACAGATGTGGATTGCTTTAACAGGACACCAATTTACAGATGTGCCTTGTCTTAGTGTTTTTATTGCTGTGAAGCGACACCATGATGATATCAACTCATAAGGAAAACATTTAATTGGGGGGCTTGCTTACAGGTTCAGAGATTCAGTTCATTATCATCATGGTAGAGAGCATGGTGGTGTGCATACAGATGTGGTACTGTCTACTTCTTGAAATGCAGGCCACAGAAAGTTAGCTGAGATACTGGGCAGAATGCTGGGCATTGGAAATCTCAAAGCTGACCCCACAGTCATACTTCCTCCAAATAATCCATACCCACTTCAACAAAGCCACACCTCCTAATAGTGCCATCCTGTATGATATTATTGGGGCTAATTACATCCAAACTACCATAGCCTCTATTTAAGATACCCATCCTTATAGGTAAAATACTTTGTTATCAGTTTTATAACACAGGCATTTGTTCTCATTGACAAAATATATCTGTATTGTTCCTGGACAAGATAGATTATATATTTAAACAGAAGCATTTTTGCACAAGCCAAATTATAAGATTTCAGAAGACAAATATTTTCTGTAAATTGAGACAATGAAAATATTTTTTCAGAGTAGCTTGCAGCCTGCCTTCTGTAGAGATGGTTATTTGGAGAAGTAGGATTCCATTGCAAGAATGAACTTTGACCGCCATTTTTCTTGTTGCCTTATAGTACATGTACACTATGATGCAGATATACTGCCAAGTGCTTTTCACTGTCAATGGAGTGATATGAGAAGGAGTAGTTGTAATGAACTGCTGAGAATGGAGTACTGCCCATTGCATATATCTCATTTGTTGCCTTATGTCTTTTAAAATGGGAAATTGTTCTTGAAATCGAGGATTAATTAGCTCAGTGAAGCAGGCAGGAAGTGGCCACTGTCCCCCACTTCACTACTCCTAGTTAAAGTGTAACCCTTTTTGTGCAGTGCTTCTCCTTCAACTCTGTCCTGTAGCTTGCTGTAATTTGGATTGTACCATTTTATTGCCCTACTTTATACATGCTATTTTTCCCTAAAATTTATCCCATGAACAAACTTCATCATGTCTGGGCTGTGAATTTGTAGTTGGGATTTGACAGGAATCCCAGACTAGAATGCATTTTGAAATACAAAATATGAGTCATGTCATTGGGAACAGCCCAGCAGAGGTGGTCATGAATAGGGTTTTGAGGGCACACTACTGATGTAGTGTAACTAGTTGTTTCACCTTATGAGATGAGCTGTTGTGCATTTAATGACCCTAGAACCAGAGGATATTGAGTGCCATGTTGATGTCTCAAAGAGATTAAGACCTTCTGGAGTTTTGGACTTTAGATAAACAAGCTTGCACTCTACTATGTTTGCTTACAATCGGCTGCCAACATAGAAATAACTTTGGGATATCCATAGTTTCTGTATTCATTGAGAGCGTGTTGTAGATTATGTTATAAAAGTATATGTGTAACATAACGCCTACAGGTACACTTTCACCTTCCTCACATTTCCTGGAAAAAAGAAGTTTATTCAAAGAAAATGTGGAAATATCATTTGTCTTATATTACAATTGGGACTCAGATTCTGTATCTAATTTGCTATCTTTAGGTTGTTTTTAATTTAATTTCAGGTTGGTATGCTAAGTGGGAAACTGTGCATGTGGCAGAGTATATAGTACTTGAAACTAAATATTGTAGCATGTGGAGAAGGAGTTACTCAGACCTCTTTTTTTTACTAGGTTAGTGATGCAACTAAGTTGAGACCAAAGGCAGAGTTCTGTTTTGGTAAGTAACCATATTTACTTTAAAAAAAATTTTAAATTCTATCATTCCATCAACCTCCTCTTAGTTCTTTTAAAAAAAAAGTGTGTGTGTGTGTGTGTGTGTCTCATAGTACTCATGTGGAAATTAGAGAATAATTTACAGAAGTCAGTTCTCTCCTTCCACCATGTGGGTTCAAGGGATTGAACAAAGGCTATCAGGCTTGGGAGCAAGAACCTTTTCCTGTTGAGCCATCTTGCTAGCCCTGTTTGTTATTTTAAATTAGGCTGATACAAAGTAATACAGTCACAAGAAACAAACCTATGGCTTAATGAATCTATAGGAAATTCCTTTACAGCTATCATTCAAGTAAGGGAATAAAACTTTGACCCTAGCTCCCAACCCCAAGTGCCTTTCCTCCTCTCATCCTAGTCATAACCTCCCCACATTCATGTGTAACTGTTAGGACCTCACCCAGCAGTAGTTCAGGTAGTTTTTAACTCTCTACCTTATTTTCTCTATTGACCACATAAATAATGCAAAGGACTTGGTCTTTTGCAAGGGAATGAGAGATTCACAACTTGGAGGCAGGAGGAATTGAGGATGTTACATAAACTGTGAGCAGGTGCTTAGTGAATGCTTAGGACACCTTGGGCTGTGGGAGAATAAGGAGTATTGGTTCCTCAAGGATCTCAAGGGATATAGAGCCAAGGGTGCCACCATGGAAGAGGACACCCCATGCTGGGAGCCAAGTAAATCGCTGACCACTTTTTACTACCAGTAAGAAGACCTCATGGGCAGAGGTGTGCAGGGGAGGAGAACGTGCTGTAGGAAGTTGAAGGCAGATGCTGGAGGCAGAAGTCAGGGTGTGGAATGTTAACAATCAACATATTTCCTTATTTTGAAAAAGGGAGAAAGTACAAGAGTGCCTGAAGCAGACCTGAGGTGAATGAGGGTGCTGGCTCCATGCATGGGAGTTAAGCTGATAGATGAGTCAGTCATGTGACTTTCGAACTGCTGTACTTAAGGTCTTAAACTGGGATGGAGCTAATGGAGGTGAGAGAAGCTAGAAGAACATTAGAAGGATGGGTAGACTTGGAGATTTGGCATCCACGCAGGCAGGTTCCATATCCTGACTATTACAAATCGTGCTAACATGGGTTTGCAGGTGTCTCTTTTGTATGCTGATTTCATTTCCTTTAGGCATATGCCCAGAAATGACTTTTTTCCTCCCCTTATATGTGGAAATCGGAGGTAAAAATGACAGTAGAAAGGGTCAGGGAAGGAGAAAAGAACCTTCCTTTATGTAGAACAGTGTAGAACAGGATGCTGGGGTGTGATGTCTAATCTTGATTGTCAACTCGCAGAATTTAGAATCATCATGAAAACAACCCTCTAAACACTTGTGTGCGGGAGTTTCTAGATTAGATCAACAGAGGTGGGAAGATCCATCCTAAATGTGAGTCCTAGCATACATGGGCTTGAAGAGGAAGTGAGCAAAGCACACACATTATTCACTCTCTGCTTCCTGACTATGGATGCAACGTGATCTGTCACTTCCTCTTCCTGCTACCTTTCCTGCCACGATGGCCTGTATCACCTGGAACTGTGAGTGAGAATTCCTTAAATTGCTTCTGTCGGATATTGTGTTAACAGCAGTGAGGCAAGTAACTAAAACGTGGAACAAGAGAGGAGCCAGGGAGAATGAACAGAGTGGTACCTCGTGGCTTTTCCCATTAATGTGTGGAGAAATTTAGAGTGTGTTAAGAGAATGAGCGGTAGGTGAAACTGAGAAAATCGATGCCCTGTTAGTGTGTAAAAGTGGGAAGGGACAGAAATTAAGACTAACTGGTGTAAAAAGGGGACTGTTTTACATTGAAGTTAAAAATGGTACTTTTGGGGCAAAGTTAGTGTTAATGTTAAGTTCTTTGCTTTCTTTTGTGTGTAGAGGGTGACTTTCTCCCACAGGTTGGTGTTCAGAGCAGTATCTGGTAGCAGCCACATATATCCAATAAGAAAAGCCATTATGAACAGCCTGAAGTTAGTTGCTCAGTTGTGTTTGTCATTACTAAGAAACTTGTGTAAAAGTTATACGTTATTGCAGTTACTAAATAAGAGAATGTTTCAGAGCCTTGGAATCAAAGGGTACTAGGGCTCATTGACTAACAGAGAATTCTGTTAGAATATATGACCACATACTTATTTTGTAGTGCTAGATAGTGAACCTAGGACTTGGGCATACTAGCAAATGCTCTACCCCTGAGCTAAATACACCTCCAGCCTAAATGCACATATTCTTAACACTTAAAAAAAATCCTCTTTGATAGTTTGAGGACATAGAATAAAGTAATAAACTCAACATTCATAGTTATTGGGCCTAGTTAGAGTAGATGATTTTAGTTGGAATCAAAGAGTAAGATGCGCCTCTTGTTCGTCTTTCTATAGTACTCTACGTCTGACAGGAATAGAGAAGAGATTCGTAAAATAGTTGCCTTCAGAGAGAGATACTAGACCCGACTTCATTCTAAGTGGCAGAATATCTCTAATTCCCCTGAAACAGGGTACAAGCAACACTCAAACCTTATCTTTGATAAAGGTAGGATACATAAGCAGGTGGCCCTCGGTGTATAAATATGGAAGCAGATGGAGGAATAGCAGCTCATTTTGCAAAGCAGAGAAAGAGGCCAATGAAGAGCTAACCATTTCAGTGCTCTGCCCCATCCCTGTCTAATAGGCTTAGGTAATGGGCCCTGTTTGGGGGGGTGGGGGAAGTTACAATAAAGGGGGACTGAAAACAGGTTCTTTGTTTGGATATCTTTAAAAAAATCTAGTCTCTATCTCCATCTGGCTCTTGTGGTCAGCCACCCTTCCCCCCAGCCCAGCAGGGAATGGGATGTGTGGTGTGTCCAGAAATAGAAACTAACACTAATCCCGGAGAAGGGAAGGAATGAGGCATGAAACTGAAAAGGAGGATTAAAGGAGAATCTGAATACTGAACGGAGCCCTGTCCTGTGCAGCCCCAGGGAACCTGCAGCCAGCTGCAGCCAGTATTAGGTGGGTTGAGCCAGAACATACTCAAGAACTGAGGAATGGTACTGACATCTGGATATTTCCACCAGGACTGGCCTTATAACCCAAGAGGGTACAACTATCCCTTTTAGTCCCTCCCTCTTTTAAAATAGTAACAGACAGCCCAGATTACTTAGTATTTGAAAAGAATTATCAGAAAAAAGAAACAAGTAATGCAAACTCAGGAGAAAACCTCCTCGACTCCCCAACTCCCAAGACAGGGTTTAGGGTTTCTCTGTGTATCCCAGGCTGGCCTGAAAGTCTGTAGACCAGGCTGGCTTCAAACTCAGAGAAATCCTTGCTAGTGCTGGGATTGAAGACATTCGCCACTACCATCTTGCTAACTTTAAAAAAAAAAAAAGGCAAAAAAACAGCAAAAGTTAAAAAGAGGTAATAGAGAAATTGATGTGGCAGTCTCAGTTATAAACTTGTAATCTCAGCATTTTAAGAGGATCGTAGGTCCTAGGCCACCAGCCTGGACTATGTACTGAGCTACTTTCAAAAAAATAAAAGTAAAGTAGTGATAGTCATAATAAAGTGTGAGAGAAAACCAGGGAAGTGAGAAAGGACCTGGTGCATGCCATATCACCACCAGATCTGTGGCCACACTTGAGCCACAGCCATTTAGTCCTGGATCAGAAGAGGTTTTGCTGCAGTTACAGTAATGTCTGTGCTGTAGTTTTTATGCATTTGTTTTATTTGCTCCGTTGTAAAGATTTAAGTAAAACATGTACTCAGATGAAAAGGCAGGAAGCAGATAAGCCCCTGAGGACTTAGGTTCATATGACACTCTCGTTTAAAAAGCTTGACAGCCCAGAGGTGTCCTAGCTTTGGTTTGTAGTATTCACAGCTTTCCTTTCCCTTTCATGTCTGCTCCCTCCCCTGCGCTGCATGCGCACCACTTTCCAGTAATTCACACTCTGGAGGTCTGAGGGCAATGACTGAGAGAATTGTTGTGTCCAGTCTTCACATGCATTGTCACTTTTTCTCTGGGAAAGCACGTGTGACATTGCTGATTCATAGTTGAGGACAGCAAGAGTCAGATTAGACAGTGCTCAGGAGCACAGCATAAGTTTATCAGTCTTGGTGATTTCTGGCTTCTTAGTTTATAGCAGATGTCTCTTTGCTCTCTTGCCATAAAATAAAAGCATGCAGGTTTTTTAAAATTCAAAATACAAAGTATACCAAGAGTTTCGTTTTTTTGTTTGTTTGTTTTAGTTTTTAGTTTTGGGGGTTGGGAACTAGAGATGAAACCCAGAGCCTGTGCATGGTCGGCAAACACGGAGGTAGCTACATCTCAAACTGTAAGGAATCTTTTTAGTTTAGTTATGTTGGCCTCTTTTTTTCTTTGAAAAGGCCTTTATTCATTTAGAAGTATGTGTATTATACATTTATTTTGTGCCAGCTGTTGTAGTGCACAGTTAGATTTTATTTATTTTTGAACTTACTATTTTATTTTGTATGTATGGGTGTTTTGTTTGTGTGTATGTCTGGGTACCAGGTGTGTGCCGGTGGTACCTGGCAGATTTCCCTGGGTCACATGGGTACTCGAATTGGACTGTGCCCTCTGTAAGAACTGAGCCATTTCTCCAGCTCCAAATACTTAGCTTGTAAATCTCTTCAGCGTTGTGAGCTGATTCCCCAAACAACATTTTGGGGGAGGAAGTCACCATTGAGCCAGTGCTGGACAAGGTCTGAATGCATACTGAGCTGACAATGGAAGCTGTTTGTAGATAGATGTAGTGTCCTAGTTCCCCATTTATGGTGACCCCCCCAACCATAAAATTATTTTCCTTGTTACTTCATAACTGTAAGCTTGCTATAGTTATGAACTGTAATGTAAGACCTCTGTGTTTTCCAGTGGTCTTACGGGACTGCTGTGATAGGATTGTTCAATCCCCCAATGGGATCATGACCCACAGGTTGAGAACCACTGCTCTTGAAACATACAAAAGCACAATAATGGTGTGTGATAGTTTTTTACTTTTCAGATGAATTTTTCTGTAGCACTCTATAAGATATACTTTGCTGTGATCTTCAACTTAGTCTAGGGAGCTTTGGTTTAGAGTAGCTTGTTCTCGGGTCCAATTTCAAAGTCCTATGTGTTTGAGAAATAACTTTTCTTTTCCCTTGAGGGTTTTCATTTCCTTCTTCTCTTAGTCATATTCAACTGAGTGCTAGTACATTAATTATCCAATATTGTGGTGGAGACTTTGGGAAGTTTTTTTAGCTTTTTGCTTTTTTGGATGGTTTTGAGACAGGGTCTCACTCTGTAGCCTTGGCTGTCCTAGAAGTCACTATGTAGACTGGCTGACCTGGAACTCACAGAGGTAGGCCTACCTCTGCTTTCCAGAGTGCTAGTATTAAAGGTATGTGCCACCACGCCTGACCGTGGAAGTTGATTTTATATTTGAATTATTTCAGTAGTGTGGCTATTCAGATGCCTTAGCACCTACAACAAATGCATATGATATAAATAGGTGTAATTAAAGATGTGTTTTATGAAGTGTATATCCCAGCGCCTAAGGGAGCATTTGTAAGTTTCACAGAAAATATGCCTTTAGCCAGGCGGTGGTGGCACACACTTTTAATTCCAGCCCTCGGGAGGTGGAGGCAGAGGCATCTCTATGAGTTTGAGACCAGACTGGTCTATAAGAGCTAGTTCCAGAACAGCCTCCAAAACCATAGAGAAACCCTGCCCTGAAAAACCAAAAAAAAAAAAAAAAAAAAAAGCCTTTATTCCCAACACTTGGAAAGGCTGGTGGAGTTTCAGTCCTGGGATGAAAGGCATGTGCCACCATATCTGGCCCAAAACAAAAATTTTTAAAAATTAGAAATCTTGGGCTGGAGAGATGGCTCAGAGGTTAAGAGCACTGGCTGCTCTTCCAGGGGTCCTGAGTTCAATTCCCAGCAACCACATGGTGGCTCACAACCATCTGTAATGAGATCTGGTGCCCTCTTCAGGCCTGCAGGCAGACAGAACACTGCATACATAATAAATAAATAAATCTTTAAAAAATTAGAAATCTTAAAAATGCTTTTTAAAATTAATTTTATTAGTATGGTTATTTTCCTGACATGTATATCTGTGTACCACTTGTATGTAGTGATCTCAGAAGCCAGACGAGGGTATTGGAGTCACTGGAACAGGTCTTCTGAAAGTGTAGCCATTGCTCTTAACTGCTGAGCGGTCTCTCCATTCCCCACCCCCCCAACAAGATTTTTAAATGTTAATTCACTGTGACTCATTAGGTCTGTATCAAGAAAATTATTACCCAGAAATACTGGCCAAAGTGTGGAGGAAGATGCCTACCTGATGTTTCATTGTGATGTTCTTTTTTGTTAGTTTTTTTCCAGACAGGGTTTCTCTGTGTAACTGCCCTGGCTGTCCTGGAACTCTCTCTGTAGTCCAGGCTGGCATTGAACTCATAGAGATCTCCCTGCCTCTGCCTCCCAAGTGCTAGGATTGAAGTATACATCATTGGACAAATGACTCACTATTTAGCGGTATATGCATTTGATGAAAACTGGTCGTGAAAGCGTTTTGCCTGTGTAGCTCATCCATGAAAGCAGTGTTTTATATGGCCTAGTGTATTTTGTGAAATCCAAGAGTTGCAGTGTTAAATATGCTAAGAGGTTTGCAACTGTTCTCAACATAATTTAGAGGTAACAACTATATTATTTCATATATTTTCTTTGACAGTTATGAATGCAGGGATGAGAAAATACTTCCTACAAGCCAATGATCAGCAAGACTTAGTGGAGTGGGTAAATGTCTTGAACAAAGCTATAAAAATTACAGTAAGTATGTATTTAAAATTTTCCCTTTACAGAAGTAACCTTTACATTTTAAAATGTATCTATTATCTTCAGCTTACCATCAGGTTGCATATTCAAGCTTGGTTTAAAAGATAAGTTCTGAATATGAGCCATTTTAAGTCTAGAGTAGGATGAGAGGCTTTGGACCACTTACTCTGGGGATGGGCACAAGCATTCCCTGTTTCTAAGCCATGACAGGCAAAGGAGAATATGAGTGTGAACAAGGGAGTGCCCAGGTATAGAGATTGAGTCTGAAGAGCTGTGGGAACCAGAGGGTACTTCCTGTGTGCTCTAGGGATGTCTGAGGTTCTAAACTCCTTTTCTCATCTGCCCTTTTCCCTGGAGTTCCAGGACTTGCTACTCTTCCCTACCTGCTGATGCTACAACTCACAGCTATTCAACTCTTTTCTTTTGTTTGGTTGAAATGAACAACAGTCAGTACTTACTGACTACTTACACTGTACCAGCAGGCAGGCTTTAGATGGGAGATTTTAATCCCTCAGCTTTCCAGAAAGGTTGAGTGACTTGTACAGCCTTTAGCACTGGTAAGTAAGCTATGAGGTTGGAAGCCAGCCAAGCAAGCCTGTTGGTTGGTGGACCCTGAATTCTGCAGTACAGTGAGCATAGAGCTCCTTCCTAAAGTCAGCCAAACTTTTCTGAGCGAAGTTCCTGCTGCTGCTACTGAGCCCATGGACTGACTTGCTGTACCTTTCCTCCTTAGACAGAGTTGGCTACCTGGAAGGGATTGGGAAGGAGCTCCTCCTTTGTGGGGTTGTATCAGTTAAAGTTTGTTTTCAGTGAAGTATAGTTATTTACTGGTCCTGATCTACTCTTGGTCAAAGAGCATGTTCCTGGAAAATCAATGCATATAGTCCTCATCTAAAGTGAATATTCGGTGTCTATGCCACACAGCAGCGGAGTTAAGATGGCCAACCAAGGCTGTTCTTAGGTCAGTTTTTTTGTCTTGCATCAGAACAGCTTGTTACCACATGACGGAAAACGCCCACATACCACATCTGAACTCTTTGTGAAGCAGAAGTTATTTTTGGGTTTATGCAGTTTCAAGATAGCAATATTTTGAGCAGATTCAGAAGTTTATGTTCTTATAACGTTTTAGCTGATTATGTTGAGCTTTTAGTAAATATACCCTACCTGGAAGATGTCTTTACAAGTCCATATGTAGTACTTTCCTGAATTTGTTTTTCACAGTCTACAATAATAAGTAGAACTGGCTTCTTTTAGTGATTTAAAGGAAAGTGGAATGAATGTTCTCAGCATTTTATGAAGTTGGAATGCCTTGAATTGCTCTCATTTATTTGTGGAACTAAATAGTTCTTCATGTCATTGCAAGCTTTTTAGCAGGAAGTAGAAACTGGTAATATTTAATTAGCTTTAATTAGCTCTTGCAGCTTTATTTTATGTGACATTTTTACTGTTTTTAGGTAAATCTGGAAAATGATTTCTATAATTTTATAATTCATACTTAGAAAATACAAATATAAGTAAGATACAGAAATCATCAGTAATTATAAGTATAGTGATGTGGATTTAGAACTGGTAATTGACTGGAGTCATTTTTAGGTAAACTTAGGACAATGAGAGAATTCACAGGCTTTAATAAGATGTATTTTGTTGGGGCTGGAGAGATGGCATAGTGATCAAGAGCAAGAGCACTGACTGCTCTTGCAAAGGACCTGGGTTTGGTTCCCTATACCCACATGACTGCTCACAACTGTCTATAACTCCAGTGCAGGGAGATATAGTACCTTCTTCTGGCCTGCACAGGCACCAGGCATGTAGATGGTACATAGACATACAGGCAAAATACCCATACACATAAAATTAAAAAAAAGTAGTGATCCATGTAGTGGTGGCACATGTCTTTAATCTCAGCACTCGAGAGATAGAGGCAAGCAGATCTCTGAGTTTGTGGCCAGCCTGGTCTACAGAGTAGAGATTCCAGGGTAGCCAGGTCTACACAGAGAAACTCTGTCTCGAAAAACCAAGTGTGTGTGTGTGTGTGTGTGTGTGTGTGTAGTTAAAAATAGATATTTTGTTAAATTTTTTTAAAGATCCTACCAGTTTAGACCTCATGGGCATTTTGCACATTTAAGTATATTGGAGTGTGATATGTCTAATTTCATATTTAAATGGCTAATGATTTATATGTAGGATCTTTGAAAGATTAATACTTCCATTTTAGTACATGTATAGTTTTACCTTCCTCTTCAGTCATTCCAAATGACATTTGATCAACTATAATTTAGTGATCTTCTGAGTACTGTGTCACTTATAACTTAAAACATACAGAAATTTAAAATTGGAGTTTTCCAGAATGTTGTTTCACCTTAGAGATTGTTAGAGCAATGTGGCTGAGAGCATGGTGATTAGTTAAGGGTTCCAGTTGTAGTAGTTGCACCTTAGTGCATTGCCTTCACAACTGTAGTCTGTCTTTCTTTGCCTCCCCTGTCTGTGTACATTGCAAATTCTTTCCTAAATCTCAAAGAAGAAACAAAAAGATTTTTAAAAAGTCAGTATTAGAAAAAATATTCTTAAAGGACATGCTTTTAAATGTGTAGTTGTCTACCACCAGTGTAGTGGTTCCTTGACCCTTGCTGGTTTAGAGTGATGAAGTTACCCATAGCTTTTTCCTAAGCAGAGTTCACTATTTCTAAAATGTCTTTTTCCACCATAACTTCTAATTTGGAAGTCTACATTAGCTTTTAAACAGAAACTCCACAGGGACTTTTTTTTTAAATCACAGCTGAATATTGGTCTAAACAGTGCACTTGCTGTCCTGCAGTGTTAACCAAGCCTTTGCCAGCCAGCCAGGTCAGATGGAGGAACTAACTGCAGGTCTTGCTGTCAAAGAATTTATCAAATACTTTAGGTTCTGTCCTCCACCTCTGCCCTCATTCCTTGTTAGCTGAATTTCACTCTCCTGTAACTTTTGAGAAGCCCGTAGCCTTTTATGTTAGTCATAAATGCCTGTTTTGCTCATATCTTCCTTCTCTAGTCATTATTTTCTTTTCTAATATTGGAACGTTCTATTGTGGTCATAGTAAATGCCTGCTAAGAACACGTTCAGACCCCTCCCAAGAAATAGTCACAAAAAGCAAGGAAGAAGCAATAGAACAGAGCATAATTAATTTCTGACATTCGTCTTCTGCCCTGTGAGTGGCTGTTTGATGCTCATTAACAGTTGGCTGATTTGAAGGTGGGGTGTGTGTGTTGGGGTTCTTTATCTTAGTGTTTGGATTTGACTCACTTTTCATTAAGAGTTTTCTGTAAATTCCAAGGGAGTAATTTTCTATCTGGATAGTTTGCTTGTACTTTTCTTGAAAACAAGGTAATTGTAATTTAGATAATTTTTATTGTAATCTTCAGTTTGAGTGGGGCAGTTGTGCTTGCATAGACTTTATTGTGAAGGTTGTCAGCAGTGGGCCAGTTGCACAGAAAAGGAATTTTTGTGTGATATGCTTCTGGAAGAAAAGTGGGAAAAGCAGCATATATTAGTGTATTTAAGTTTCTGTGAAAGACTTGTCTTTAGAAGTCCCTACAAGTAGGAGAGCCCTTACCTGGCGGATACCACTGCTCACTCCTGGTGCAGATCACCATAGAGCAGCTGTCTCGTGTCAGCTCTGTAGTTTCCAATTCTCTTACTGTTCTTTTCTGTTTTCAGTGAGTTGACAGAATGACTGAAATAAATTATGTGATTCTGGAAAATGTACTAGAGTTTATCTGTAAATTGTTCTAGGGTGTGGTATCTTAATTTTAGCTAACAACTAGCACATTGTCCACTATTACAATCACTGTTAAAAAGCACTTGAGTGTAGCCTTTTAGAATTCAGGGCATTCAGGATTCATCTCCTTCTTTCCCTTTTCCTTTCCCTTCCCCTTTCCTTTCCCCTCATTTCCCCTTTCCCTCCTTCCTTCTCCTTTCCCCTTCCTCTTTTCCCCCCATTCCCCTCTCTGTTTTGCTTTTTCAAGGTAAGGTTTATCTGTTTAGCAGTAGCTGTCCTGGGACTCACTGTAGCCCAGGCTGGCCTCGAACTCAGAGATTCACCTGCCTCTGCCTCCCTAGCACCGGGACTAAAGGTGTGCACCACCACTGCCAGGCTCCCTTTCTCTCTCCCTCCTGTTTCCACCAGTGACTGATAGCTGTATTGGAAGTATGCATTTGAAGCTGGAGGGTGCTGCCAGGGCCAGATAGAAAGCCTGACAAGGGAGGCAGTGGGAGAAAATGACATTACCTAAGATATAAGCCATTCTTTTTTTTTTATTAATATTTTTTTTATTTTCCATTTTAAATTTAGATAAGAAACAAGGTTGCTTCACAAGTCAGTACGAGGTCCCTCTCCCTTTCCCTCCCCTCCTCCCGTGCCCTCCCCTCCATCCCCCCCCCCGTTATCCCCTCATTCCCCCAGGGAGGGTGAGGCCCTCCATGGGGGTGTCCATAGTCTGTCATTTCATATAGGGCAGGGCCTAGACCCTTCCCCAAGAGTTCAGGGTAAGAGTGCACCTCACATTGTTCTATGGGAGTCCAGAGACCGTGTGTATACTTGTGATGGGTACTGATCTGCTGTCCAAGGCTCAATAGATTACCTAGGCCTCCTCACTGACACCCAGATTCAGGGGGTCTTGATCAGTCCCATGCTGGATTCCCAGGCTGATGCCTGGGATTCAAGAGTTAACCTTTGTCTGGTCAGCTGTTTCTGGGGGTTCAACCAGCCCAGTCTTAATCCCTTTGATCATCAGTCCTCCCTCTCTGATACTGGCTTTCTTGAGTTCAGCTCAGTACTTAACCAGCCAGTAAATGAAGTTTCTGTTTCCCAGACTCTCTGGCAATAGGATTGTAGGCTGGCACTCCCCAGATCTATGTCTAAAATCCATATATGAGAGAGTACATGCCATGTTTCTCTTTTTGTGACTGGGTTACCTCACTCAGGATGGTTTCTTCTAGTGTCATCCATTTGCCTGCG